TTTGTATTTCCCTCCGTGTTTGTGACAGCTTTGCCTCCAGTTCTGCTCCCTGCTGCAGGCGGACGTGCAGCTCCTGCTTCAGGGCCTCCTCCGGCTGCACAGTGTCCGCCCGAGAGCTTCGTTTCTGGGCTCGGAGCTGAATGTCCTGCTCTAGATGTGCAGATTGGGACTGGAGCTCCTCGATCTGATAACTGTGATCGTCCAGTGACGAGTTGATCTGGTGCAGACGACTGTGCAAATCTGTTGATAACAGTTAAAGCGGGAACGATTAGTCAAACTTCATAAATAATGCATATATTAGGAGCATTCCTGATTCTTAATTACATTTTTTATATACTCAAAGTAACTCTTACCAAACTCACAGTGCACATGGTTATACCCAAAAGTAAATGAGTCCATGCAATCAAACAAAAAGATTCTGTTCAAGCAGCGACTTAGTCTCACTTGAATCATTTCAACCTTTCTTTTCCACATGTGTTTACTGAGGGTTTGAATAGCCTCCATTGATATTTTCAACATATTACATCACTTTCATTTCTTCCACACAGGGTGAAAAATATAATTTAAGCAACAGGAAAAAGGGGGAAACAAAAAACAGTTGATGCAAAACAGTTGTCATCACATACTATAGTCATAAGCCGCTTTCACACCGCAGGACTTGCCGTACTTTAGTGCCGGCACTACCTGCGGTGTGAAGTACCACGGCACTGAATCCGCCAGGGGGCTAGTGCCAATCGCATTCACACCGCAGTACTTTCCCTGAGGCAAGATTACGCTGACGTCACTTCGTCTTCTTCTTCTCTGGGTTTACTGGCAGGCCGCAAAACCACTTCACGGCGAGTACAAAAAAAAACGAGAGAAGAAGAACTACACGGGGGAGGGGGTATAAAGCCCACCCGCTGTACATGATATATACACTGAACAAAAATATAAACGCAACACTTTTTTTTTTGCTCCCATATTTCATGAGATGAACCCAAAGATCTAAAAAAAATTCTATATACACAAAATAACCATTTCTCTCAAATATTGTTCACAAATCTGAAAAAATCTGTGATAGTGAGCACTTCTCCTTTGCCGAGATAATCCATCCCACCTCACAGGTGTGGCATATCAAGATGCTGATTAGACAGCATGTTTATTGCACAGGTGTGCCTTAGGCTGGCCACAATAAAAGGCCACNAACACACACACACACACACACACACACACACACACACACACACACACACACACACACACACACACACACACACACACACACAGACACACACACATTCAAAATTGATATTGAAAATGTTCAAACAAACATTATTTGGCCAGATGTGACGGTTTGTCAGTTGGTCACCTACCGTACGTACGTGCGCCGCGTGCAGCTCTAAACTGTGTCCGGCTAACAGAGAGGTGGGTTGTGTCCGTCTTAAACATGTTTTAAATACGTTTTAAATTGTAATTATTATTTTTTTGATTGTTTTATCAAGTTGTACATATTATCAAATACATTCTGTGTGAATCCTGTTCTTTTTACCATCGCTAAATAACTTTTTTTGATAGTTTTTATTTTACATAATATGGGCTAATTTTAGAAGCTCCCAAGCTAGCTTACAGATCACTGTTTTCGTGAAATGTATTATTTTTGCTTTTTAATCAGGAGAGCCGCCTGTCACACAGAGCACTAAGTGGAGGATTGTGTTCATATATTTCACGATAGGTACGGAGATGTTTCCTTTGTTTTAATCTTTATTTTGAACTTGTTATATTTTAGGCTTTATATCCGTGTAGTGGAGGGTTTGGTTGCTATGACAACACTGCAGCGCTGTCTGCGTGATTGCAGTTATTTAATTGGGATTTTGTGTTTGCTTACATATTTTTTCGTTTAAGTAATGATATTATACCCTTTAGAAACTTCAGTTTAAGTGCAGAAGAAAACATTTACTTAAAATACTCAACTAGCCTACATTTAATTGACAGTTTTATTTACTTTATGGATTCACATTATTAGCGAATATAAAACAAGTTATAAATAAACAGTAACATATTATTAAAGGATGTAATATCTAGGCACGGTGAGACTTTGTATGCAGTAGTTGTAAAAGAGTATTTTTACAGTTTAGTGTCAGTAATTATTTCACCTCTGTGTATAATGTTAGTGGAGGTTAAACTATTGAATGCAATATTTTTGTTGTAACAATGGAGTCAAGCTTTTGATATTTAAAACTGTTTCTAAATCTTAATAGATAAATATTCATATATTCTGTGGTTGCTGTTGTATAAATTACATTATATTCATCTTCAAACTCTCATGTGTTTTTTGTATTAACACACTAGCCTACACACAAGACACAAAGCATCATTTTAATTGGCACACGGAGCATCGACTATTCACAGATAATATAAATGAAAAAACAACAGCCTGGGGATAGCAGTTTGCGAATAAATAGGAACTAAGTAAGTAAACACAGATACACACATGTGTAAAAGTTCCTGCCTCCATTCCTGTCCAAATCACACTTAACCCTGTGGCCAATTATAATGCTTGCGCTCTGATTTGTGAATCATTATGTAAAAGTATTTTCACACAGTTCACAGCCATACTGTAACAATGTAGAGTTATTCAATAACAAACTCAGTGTAAACCAGATAATATGCATTCAGTCTGCACACTCAGTAAATGCATTGGCTACTAGAGTTACAGTAATACTTTCCGAGTGAAACAGCAATAACTCTGTGTATATAAACTTGGACCACATATTTTTCATCAGCTTAACGCCTCAGGCCGGTTTAAATTTAGGTCAAGGAAACCGGTGTGTGACAGTGAGGTGTGTGTGTGTAGTTTCTGTGTGTTTGCAGAAGAAGACACTCAGGTTTGCTTAGGGCAGGAATGTGGCAAAACACGCTGACATTCCTGGAGGACTCAGACTCCACCCACAAATACCTCAACTCTCTGTTTACTTCCACTGTTCAAACTCTCTGTCAGTATCGTCAACACCAGATAATCATAGAAACTACAGCTCCTGTTTGTTAAGCTGCATGTAGATTCAGTATTCAGCCCTTAATCAATCCCGTAATATGGCCAAAGGAAATGAAAACATTATATTTAGCCAACGCTTTTATCAAAGTGCAATAAACCATGAAGAAACAAAATCAGAAAGCGCTTTCTGTTTTCTCCCACTGTTCAAATTCCCTTTCACAAATAAGATAATCAAAGTGAACTCCTGTGGAAACTATCATTAAAACCATCTTTGTATTGATGATCAGACACTTATTTTCTAAATATTTCTGTTAACAAATGTAATGTGAAGCCTTAGGAAGTATTTAGGAAATGTATGTCTTTTCGGTTTTAAATAAAAATGTGTTTTATACATTTATAATGATAGAAATAAACCTCCTTAGTTTCATTTGAATATTTTTGTTTCGTTTGAGGTATTGAATTTATTTGTAAACGTAAATACGTAAATGCTTAGCTTTGATTTTTTTTCAATTGAATACATCTTTTCTAAATTAAGACATTATTATAGTTGGTGTTTTACACAAATGGTTATTTTCAACTTGTTTTGTTAGCTTGATTTTATGTGCACCTTTTCCCAGGCTTATATCTGTATCATGTTAAACTGTCTGCAACATAGTTATAACCTCATGAAACCTAAAGTATATCATGTACAACATCATTTGGAATAAATCCAAAATCAAGGTATTTGGAATGCTCTTCTGTTCTAGATTTAATCTTATGGAGCCACAATAAAATACAAGTCATGCTTTTCATTACATACAAAAAGGACTTTTGAAAAATATATTTCCCATCCCACAAGAAATAACATTTATATTTTTAAGAGAAGGAAATAAGCATCAGTATTAATTAAAAAACCCTTACCTTGTAGTTGAAGCTTCTCTCAGTTTCATTGATGTTTTTTTCTCCTTCTCACTCTTGTGTATTCAGGCTGTGACACAAAAACGCACCTACAGACACTTTAGAGGAGGAGGAGGAAGAGGAGGAGTGGAGATGAGGAATGCAGCCTTTCTTGATGTGCTGCATGAAAAGTGATGTCACTCTGGAAATGGCGGGAGGTAATTAAATAGACTCACACATCCACTTTCACCTCAGAGGAAACTATAATTATGTTTGCGGCTCCATTTCTATCTTTACTGCTGAAATTACTCTGCAGATTTAGATTGGGTGGTGGTATCATAACACACCTCTTTCCTTTCTTACATCTTCTTTATATCCTTCAAGTACTTTATGGAAACCCCCAAAACTGGAAAGACAGTGTTAATCGATGGAAGAAGTACTCACATCTTATACGTAATAATACCACAGTGTAGAAATACTTTGTTACAAGTCAAAGTCTCTATGTCTCTACACATTGAAAATGTCACTTAAGTAAAAGCACAAAAGTATTAGGAACAAAATGTACTTCAGTACTGATTCTTCACAATGGCCTATTTCAGAATAATATAAAGTACATGCGTAACAGACACATGTACATCAAGTATCAAAAGTAAAGAGCATTGTACTTTGTCAACATTGAATTAAAATAGTATAAATATTCAATCCTGTGTATATTAGTAGTACAGCAATGCATTATACCACATCAGCCTATCGTGTGCTTTTCTATGTACAAATTAAATGTGAGTGCTTATTAAATGTAATAGAGTAAAAAGTACAATATTTGCCTTCTGAATGGATTCAAAGTATAAAGTAGCACCACATCTAAACGTACTCATCATCCAAAGAGACCATTGTTGGAATAATATATACAGTATATTAAAGGGATAGAATTATTGATCTTTTATTGTGTTCAACATTTTAATCGTACAACGGGAAAAGATTGAGATACCTTTAGTAACCTTTAATAACCTTTTATAACGCCAAGTATCTTAATTTAAAATAGTACATTATAATGTATTAGTTGATGTATTTTTTTATTAATAATATTAACCTGTAAAAAAACGAGTAGTGGAGTAAAGAGTACAATGTTTGCTTCCAAAATGTAGTGGACTAGAAGGATATAGTAGTACAACATGGAAATACTCAAGTAATGTACTACATTCTGTGAGCAAATGTACTTAGTCACTGGTTTTAATCTGACAGCCAAACTCAGTAGCTTAATATTTTGTCTTTCTTCTACTTTGTTCTCGGATGAACATTTTCTTATTCTTCCACATTAATCTTTAGTGCTGAATTAATTTGTTATAAACTCAAGGTAAGTCCCTTAAATATTTCAAATGTCATCCCTTTCTTTCGTTTCTTGCATCATTATTTTTCTTCTTCCCTTCTTTCATGGAATCCTGGAACTAAAGATACTGGGTGTTATCCTGGCATCCAAGCTCTACTTTTCTTGACAATCAGTAGCATAATATATTGTGTTTCTTTCACTTTGACCTTTGAGGAAAATGTTGATATAAGGTAAGATCAAATAAACCTTTATTAAACCTCGTAGGAAAACCCAGGTGTCAGAGCAGCAACAGAAATGAGGGTGAAACACAGAACAGGACAGCTAAAAGTTCACACTATCAGAACAACACATTAGAAATCTAAGTGACAGTATAAGGTACAATTTAAATATCTTTACATATAAACAGATATGAATAATTATGAATTTGTCAAATCTTTACATCTGAATGTGCAAGTCTTGAGTACCATACCTGCAAAAGTAGACGCTTTTCTGGCGAAATTTGCCATTTTTGGCCAGCACAATTTCCCTTGAAGACCAGACGTGGTTCTGAAAACGTTTGTCACGTCGCAATCTTCTTCTCAGTAAAACATATTTTCAAAGATGCTTCTTGAGTCTTTGGGCCGATCAGAATCACGGTAAGAGCATTGTTTTATTTTCCATGGAAGAAGAACTTTTCGCGGTTGAACCATCACTTTATATATCCATGGGTACAACATTAAGACACTATGTCCTGTTTGTTGCTAACCTAACCTTAAGTAAGTTGTTGCTAATGTAATGTGAACTTGCCAAATCAAGTTTTAGTGCGTCATAATAATCTTTCCCAACCTGTTAATAATAGAAAGATTGCCAGCTTGTTAACACGTCAGCTAATGTTAACTCTATTTCATGTATTTTTGCTGAGTTAATGCTTACGAGTGCATCAGTATTATGTCATGTCATATGATTTTAACTTGCGTCATTGTCTTAAGTTACGAGGGAAATACAAATGAAAACTTGTATAAATGTATACATGTGAATGTGCAAGTCTTGAGTATGTACCATACCTGCAAAAGTAGTCGCTTTTCTGGCAAAGTTTGCAATTTTTGGCCAGCACAATTTCTCTTGGACTGAAGACCAGACGCGGGTCTGAAAATGTTTGTCACGTCGCAATCTTCTTCTCAGTACAACAACTTTTCGACAATGATTCTCGAGTCCTTGGGCCAATCAGAATCAAGGTAACAGCATTGTTTTATTTTCCATGGAAGAAAAACTTTTCGCGGTTGAACCATCACTTTATATATCCATCGTTACAACTTGAAGAAACACTAGTTATGAGGTAAGTCCTGTTTGTTGCTAACTTAACTATAAGTAAGTTGTTGCTAATGTAATGTGAACTTGCCAAATCAAGTTTTAGTGCGTCATAATAATCTTTCCCAACCTGTTAATAATAGAAAGATTGCCAGCTTGTTAACACGTCAGCTAATGTTAACTCTATTTCATGTATTTTTGCAGAGTTAATGCTTACGAGTGCATCAGTATTATGTCATACCATATGATTTTAACTTGCGTCATTGTCGTAAGTTACAAGGGAAATAAAAATGTAAACTTAATGAAATAAGAACCACCGTTTGATTGGTGAATGGCTCTCATCATAACAATTTGTAGTATTATGTAGTCGTGAAGGTGTTACACAATTTTTGGTGACCAATTAAAAATGTTGACCTGCAGTGATGAAAAATATATGATTTATCTTTGGTCTTTGTTAGATTCTTGCATGTTGTCCAGCGTGTCTTTAATGTATTTTACCCCTATGTTATACTGTAATACAAAGTTACAGTACTTCCTCTATCTCTGTAAACAGTGATGTCACTGTTTCACTAAACCATGGCTCCTCCTACGGTGAGGAAAAAAAAAAAAAAACCTCTTCCTCCTCCAAATCTGCATTCCACTATGCAAGTGACGTGTGTGTGTGTGTGTGTGTGCGTGCGTGCGTGCGTGCGTGCGTGTGTGTGTGTGTGTGTGTGTGTGTGTGTGCTGAGGATTAGCAACTGTGTTCAGCTGGTTAAACACACGCTATAAAGATAAACTACGCGTTTAAAACAAATTAACGTAGATTAAGAAGACAATTTCATTTTATTAAATAGCTAGCCTTAGCCACAACTCAAAGGGTTAAATGATATGGGAACAGTAAAGTTCTGGTTATTTAAATAATATTCCAGTTTTTGTTTTAGTATTACCAGTATGTGTTTGTTTTATTTGACTTTCTTGTGAAGTAGTTGTGCTCTGTTACTCCTGTATTTAAATGGCCTTTGTCTGTAATGCATCTGGTGCTGCTGACCTTTATTCATCGTGGACTTCATGAGCCTTTAGTGCCCTCTAGTGGCTTTTTCCCCCAATTATTAGTGAGTAATGTTTTTGTGCAGACTTTATTTCCCGTACAGTATTTGGTATAGCCTTTAAAAACAAACAAATACAAATGTGTACTTTTTACATATAAAAACCCTATACTATACAAAAATAATATATGATATGATGAAGTATGTTCAAACTTATGAACCCAGTATTTTAGACAGTATCTAAAATTGGCTCCACATTCACAAACTACAACATTAAAATGCAAGGTATTTGTAATGATAAAAAAAACAATATAATAACGATAATAATATAATTCTGTGAAAAGAGCCATTCTGCCTACATGTACTTTTACATTTGATACATAGTATATTTAGCTGATAATAGTTAAATAGTTTATATAATTTCTATATTCTATACTTGTTCTGGTATGGGCCATCGGGCTTACGTTTACGTTTGTACTTTTACATACTTAACATTTTGAATTCAGGACTTTTATTTGTAACTGAGTATTTTAAAACCATATAATTTCCACTTGTACTTAAGTTGAGGATCTGAATACTTATTCTCACAGTAGATTTACAGGCAACCTTGAATCTTATTCAGATTTTATGAATGGCATTATATAATATTAAAACATATATACATATTGTTTTGTTTAAAGACTTGGTTCAACAGAAAAAAATATAGACACCACCTTTCCTAACTAACCTCTTTGATGTAACCTAAATGAACAGAAACAGATTTAAATTAGTTTGTAGCAATTATAGTATTGTAAATCCCATCAGGGTGTCCATGTTACTCTCGATAATCCACAGAAATATTGTAAACATCCTTTTTATTTGTTCCAATTCTAGTGAAAACTTAAGTTATAATGCACAACGTTTAACAGTTTACTGAAAATATCTTGAATCTTGAACATAGAAGAAAACGTTTTTTTGTTCCTCTTTTTTGTTAACATCATTATCGTGCATACTAGTCATTGTACATGAGGTCTTATAGAAGATTGATGAAGGAAAATAAAACATTTGTAATCTTAAAAAGAAAACGCCTTACATAACTATCTCTAGCTTTGTAACTTCTCTGATGAACACCATTGAACAACTGATTAGTTTAAGAAGTTTCAGACTGAATGATGCCAGTAAACATCATGGTGCAGTCAACTTTATCATTTAAAATGTTTTGTTTTGTTTTCTCCCTTCATTCGGGTATGAAAAATCCGCCCGTTTTTAAACATTGATTTGTTTAAGAGATTTTTGTCAGGACTGTACATTGTTCATTTAATGTTCGAAGGCTTTCTTCACAAAGAATAATCAATACACTCTCCTACACCCTCAATGTTCTCTATTTTTGCTGCAGTTATTGTCCTTACTGTATAAAAAGGGGCATTATTCCAAGAAGCTGGTGGCTGTGTGAAATATACTATTCCCTCACTCATGTCCACTGTGATCAGCGTTATTTAATTTGTTTGTAGGCAGACCATTCAGGCCAGCCAGCCAGCCAGCCTGTTTTGATAGCATTTTACTAAAAAAGCCCACGCGAGCCTAACCTAGGAAAAAGGGGTGGGTTTGACCTTAGAGGGATTGGAGGGTTAATGTTGAAGGCTTCCTTCAAGCCTTTCAGTGCTTGTTCCTTTGTAATTTTCCTCCATGCTACTGGAACATCAGCTGGCTTGGCGTTGTATTATTGGGCAAATCTCTCATTGTATTTAACCAGGACATACTTCCAGTAGTCAGATGCCTCCCTAGCGTAGTCTGGAGGAATGAGCCAGTCTGGGTAGATTGTTCTGTAGTCCTTGTGAGGATGCCACTCTCCATTAGTGTCTGCACAACTGAATTGACGTTCACTGTGAACATCAGTTGTGAACATTGTTACCACCAGCTTCTGAGTGTCGATAATCCTGTATCTACCGAGACCTTTTGGCCGATGAACAGCTGCATGATGTTCCTCATGTTTTTTGCCTCCGGCTTCACAAGGAACTTTACAAAATGGACATTGTTGTCCACAACCAAACACCCGATTGAAAAGCTCATCCTGTGGTTTGGTTGGAAGTTTGTTCACAGTCTCAGCGATGTTTTCAGATTTTGAGAACTCCTCCTGCAGCTGTTCATTCATTTCACTCAATGATTTGATGAGGCTCTCTTTAAATGGATGGCATGTGNCACTTCGTAATTCAGGACTTTTACTTAAAACCATAGTATTTCCACTTGTCACCTCTTAACAGATTAACGGATCCTGAATACCTATATACTTCTCACACTAGATTCACAGGTTACCCACCACCATTGTTCCAGATTGTATGAATACATTATAGACATCGAAAACCAATGCTATACACAAATATCGGTTTTGGGTTAAAAGAACTTGGTTCACTGAAACAATTAGACAAAACTTTTTTCTAACTACGTATTTAATACTTTCCTAAATGACCAAGAACAGATTTAAATTAGTTTGTGGTATTTATAGAATTTAAATCCTTGATTTAACTGCTGTGGTTTGTAAAGTGTTATTTTGTAATGCATGAGTACCATAGCACAATATGCCACTTAGTTTCCCCGCACTACCGTTGTTCTGGTGGAGGCAGATTAATTCAGTTAAATCTGACATGACGCATGAAAAAACACAGAAAAACACAGATACTTATGTTTCACTGAAAAAAGGAAACTGACAAACTGACTTTGATCAGAATCCAATTTTATTGTTATATTGCTTCAACATTTTTTTTTTGTTATAGGATCTGACAACATATCATTTTGTTGGTTTCCATTATGCACACAACTTTATGTTTGTAAAATTGAATAAAAGTAACAACAAAAAAAAGAATATAGATGGTAAACTATATATGATTTATTTTTCAACTTTCTTATCTCTGGATCGACTTTTAATATATCTGAAAATATCAATACCATGATCAACAGTACTCTCTGCTGTTGACTTGTTTAGATGTATATTTAATCTACAGCAAAAAGTCAGTTACACCAACATAAACATTTCTTATTCACTGCCTTAACTTCAAATAAACAAAACAGTAGAGCATATTAAAGAATAATGAGTGCATGTTAGAAAACATCTGTTTCTCATGGTCTGTACTTTAAGCACTAAGGATGCACTGCAATAAGTGTTGAAAAAAAGTAAAATAAGTAAGAATAATAATAGTAAGTAAAACATGATTTAATCACATGGTCTCGGTACGACACAGACCCACAACATCATAGTGTGCACACAGCATAATGTTCTTTAAGCAAATTATTCAAAAAGAATAAAACAAATGGAATATTTAAAAGTAAAACATATAAATGAAAAGATAACAATGTCCTGCGTAAAACTATAACAGTAGAAATATTAAAGAATAGTGATGCCATTAGATAACATCTGTGTCTCATGGCCTTTGTGTATTAAGCAAAGTTTAATAATAAAATAAAACATGTAAATAAATTGAGTAAGTAATAGTAAGTAGTAAAAATAAAAGTAAGTAAAACATGATCTCATCACTAGTCTTTGCCTACATCATCATTTTGTGCACACGGCGTGGGTGTGTGAGTTTTTCAAAGGTATTATACAAAAAACATTTAAAAGGAAAAATATAAAGAAAAAAAAAAAAGGAAAAATATAAATGATAAAATGTCTTGAATGAAACTATAACAGTAAACATATTGAAGACATATGAGATAACATCTGTTTCTCTGTTCTTGTATTTTAACATCATCATCAACATCAGCTTCTTTATATTTTGCACTAGTCTTTATGAAAATCATCAAAACACAAAACTCCAAAACATTAAATCAGAGCAAACAAACAGTCCTTCTTTCTGACTTGTTCATCACATCATTATCCGTCTAACATAATGAAAATCAAAAGTTCCTCATCAACAAGATGTGAAGGATGCCACAGTATTTGCACTTGAAGCAAAACGTCATCAACATGCACTTACAGTCTTTCAACTGAGGCTGGCTTATGCTCTCTCCAAGTTCACATCAACGTCTATATTTACAAAAAAATTTGAATACTAAAACAAAAAAAATAAAAACTGTGGAGAAAGTAATAATAAGTAGTAAAAACAAAAACAAACATGATCTCATCACATGGTCTTTAGACATCATTGCATGAACACAAGGAATGAATACAAATAATAAAACAAGAAAAAGTAAGTATTTGTATCTTTATGTATTATTCTCAGACTGGTATGAAATCACACATTTTTCCTCCTGGTTTTTATCTGCAAAACTTGTTACTTAAAAGCTCAAATGTGAAGCGATACATGAGTCATGCGGACAATTACATCACAAAACATCTCTTTGTCTCCAACACGGTCTTTGTAGCAAAGCATCTTTAGCAGTGACATCTCTTTGTTGTGCACTCCAGTTATAATGCACAACGTTTAACAGTTTACTGAAAATAAATGTAGCAGTCAAGAAACTAAAATGACAAAAACAAATAACACAATCTCTTTCTTCAGGTGGACTATGACGTACATCATTTTCAGAATCATATTTTGTTACGCTAGTCATCACACACAGAGGAAAATAATATATTGAACATATAAAAAAAAAGCAATAAAGATTTAAAGAATTGTTCCTCTTTTTTGTTAACATTATCATCAGCATCCCAGTCATTGTCCAAGAGGTCTTATAGGAGATTGATAAAAGAAAACAAAACATGTGTAATCTTAAAAAGAAAAAAACATCTCACATAACTCTCAAGCTTTTGAACTTCTCTGCAACTTCTTAAAATCATCAGTTGTCAATAATAGTGATCGTCAAACCCCAGGATGCCACTAAAGATCACGGTGCAACTTTATCACAACAGTGTCGATCTGTTTTGTGTTTCTGCCCTGGCGTGTTCAGTTCCTGGTTCCTTCTGGTTTTCTCTCTCTTGTTAAAGAGTTTGCAGGATTGCAGGTTAGTCTTTAATGCTGAATGCTTCCTTCAAGCCTTTCAGTGCTTGTTCCGGTTTGATGCTCCTCCATGCTTCTGGAACATCAGCTGGCTTTGCCTCGTATTCTTGGGCAAATCTCTCATTGTATTTAACCAGGACATACTTCCAGTAGTCAGATGCCTCCCTCTTGTAGTCTGGAGGAATGAGCCAGTCTGGGTAGATTGTTCTGTAGTCCTTGTAAGGATGATACTCTCCATTAGTGTCTGCACATCTGAATTTACGTTCACTGTGAACATCAGTTGTGCACATTGTTACCACCAGCTTCTGTGTGTCTTCATACCTGTATCTACCGAGACCTTGTGGCCGATGAACAGCTGCATGATGTTTCTCATGTTCTTTGCCTCCTGCTTCACAAGGAACTTTACAAAATGGACATTGTTGTCCACAACCAAACACCCGACTGAAAAGCTCATCCTGTGGTTTGGTTGGAAGTTTGTTCACAGTCTCAGTGATGTCTTCAGATTTTGAGAACTCCTCCTGCAGCTGTTCATTCATTTCTCTCAATGATTTGATGAGGCTCTCTTTAAATGGATGGCATGTGCTTTGGATTTGAAACAGGGCGGTTTTTTCAGCCTCTTCTGAAAGCGAGATATCTTTGGTCAAATATCTGCGCATGTTTTTGATGAGCTCTGTGATGCTTTCCTTGTTATCTGGCAGCAGGACACCATCCTCTCCTTTTGAGGCCCTTTCAGTTGCATCTGTTATTTTCTTAACTATGACTTTCAGATTCTGACCTTTCAGTTTGCATAAAGCTTTGTCCTCTGACATTTCTTCCAAGATGTGCTGAAATATCAAGTGCTTCACGTACATTTCATATTTACAAATGAACTTGACAAAACTCTGAAAGTGTTCCTTTTGCAGCAACTCTTTCTGAATGTTGTACTGGAAAAGGTTTCGTGAACTGTACTCTGCTGAATGGCGGCCTGCCAAAACTTCATCCACAATGTTAGTTCCCAGATGTCTACTGATGTACTCTTCCACAGCAGGTTTGATACAAAGTCTGACAAAATCATCTGCTTTGCGTTGGCAATGATCTCTCTTTTTGTATAGATCGATAAAATCCAACAAGTACTGAGGCTTGTACTTCTCCAGCTGAACTTTGGGATCCCTTGACAACAGAACATTTCTGTGCATTTGAAGGAACTCTCTTGAGGCAATGCCACAAATGTGAAGTTTCAGGTCAATCTCAAACTTGGGCTGGAAAGTGTTTCCTTTTAGGGAATCATCTACTTTTTCCAAAATATCCTTTGTAAAAGAGTCATGGTAGTCTGTGTCGGTTTTTGCTTTACCAAGTACAAATAGTGTGCAAGACTCAATGACAGTGTCTGCTCAACTCTGCAACTCTCTCTGTGAAGCTTCTGTTTGCCAGAATGCCAAACCTTTCAAACCTATTTTTTTATGTTCAGTTTTAACCTTAAAAAGCTTATTTCCTATGTCCTTTAGGTCTGTAATGTTCTGTAATTCCTCATTGACGTTATGATTTGCAAAATTTATCCTCAACTGTTCAAGGACTTTTTCAGATATGTTAAGCTCTTTCAGTCCAGACACATTTAAAGTGACTTTTGTCCACATCTGTTGAAAGTCACGTTTCAACTGTTCATCAGAAAGTGTGCAGTGTTTGCGATCACTCAAGAGTTTCATTACTTCGTTTTCAATCATTTCTCTGTGTTTCAAGTGTTGCAGTTTAGAGAGACAGGTGAAAAGAACTGTTAAAGAGAAAGAGAAGGTCATATTTAGATATTAGGTAGCCCCTAATGGGACCATTCATTTAACATAAAGGGCCATTTTATAATTATTTTAAAATTGTGGATTATTTTACATCAATGTTTGCAAGCTAGCAGTTGGTGAATTTGGGTGAATTACACATTGTTGGCACATCACCAAGATCTGTGAATAATTTGAATCTCTGTGATTTTGTATTTCCGCAATTCTAAGAGATCAAATATGTATTTAGTTATTTGTGTGGTCATTTTTCCACTTTATATAAATCTTGATACATCTTTTAACAATTGAATTTGTATGTCTATACACAGTACATCAGGACACATCAAAGTTGAGTGAATGGGGGAGTTTACCTGCATGTTCTTCACCTGTGTTTGTAGACAGGGTCTGACTTTTCCTTCAACTCCCCTGTGCTTTGAAATCTAAAAGGTAACAAAATAAAGCCTTTTTTTTACTTTTTTTTTAGTACTTTTTTTTTTCAAAGAAGCACACATTGTGTTATTGCTTATTCATTGTAGATCAGTTGCAGACAATCAAAACCAATGTCCTTTTTTAAAACCGCTGCGCTAACTGCCAATATTATACTGCTTAGAGAAATATTATTAATATGTCTAATTTGATCAAAGAGGTGTGTCTTACTGTCTAGTGTAGTGTAGCAATACAATTCTGATTTAGTCCGATTGAAGCATATCAATTAAAAAGTGTTTGCAGTAGCTTTACGGTAAACACTGATGATATAACATTTAGTATTGCTAATTTTACTCAAGTACAAACGTGAAGTACTTCTTTATAACACTGATAATGTCTCAGTGTGTCGGCGGACAGGCTTTCATTGGTCAAAGATCTTACAATGTTTATTTTCTAAGAACCACAAATGTGCATGTGTTCCATTGTCTGGCAGTGGAGCTTTTATCTATACATCAAGGAGTTAAAACCCCAGCTCAAAAACAACAGTCAGAAAGCAACATTTGGTTTCCTGTGTGCACAAAGTCTAAGCAAAGTACACCAAGTTCAAAGTTTCAATAGTTTCGAGGTGGTTCTTTAAATCTTATTAAAGCCAATTAAATAATTAAGTTAAACAAACAAAACAACTTAAAGGGGCAGCTGTCAGTGAAGTTTATCACAGTCATTAAGAAAGATGCTGCAGTGATTTGGAGTGATTGGGCCACATAATGAGCAAATTAAAAAAAATGATTTTCAATACAGAAACTACTTAAGGTTTTAAACAATAACCATAAAAAAAAACTTAAAGGCTGTCAGTGAAGTTTATCACGGTCATTAAGAAAGATGCTGCAGTGATTTGGAGTGATTGGGCCACATAACGAGCAAATACAAAAAAAGGATTTTCAATACAGAAACTACTTAAGGTTTTAAACAATAACCATAAAAAAAAACTTAAAACATAAAAACATGCGTGTCCTACTTGTCCCGTGTTGTTATACAGTTCTGCATCAAACCA